CAGCCAAGCAGTTGTTTTGACCTTGAACCATTGTATTGACACGGTGCTTTCTCATTCTGGAGGAAGGAATATTGAGGAGGCAAGGCATTAGTTTTTATCACAGGCTGGGGCTTGGTGCTGCCACATCCCTGGTTTGACTGAGTACTTACAGCAGTGATGCTTAGCACAGTTCCTGAAAAAGCTTTGTCTCAAGATAATTGTAGATTCATGCGTAGCGGTGAGAACTACCCAGGGACCCCCTCGTTACCCCTCTGTTTGCTTCAGTGGGAACATGTCATGTAGTGTGGAGGTAATCAGCCCCCCACAACTAATCACGGGTTCAGTAGGCACAATTGTACAGTTAAGATATATAAAGATTATCGTAAAGTCATAGAGAGATGGGAGAGAGAGAGTAAAATGAAGAAGTCAGACATATTTCATGGCAGCGTGCTCACCTCCTGGGTGGCCATGATCTCAGTAGCCAGGTCTGTGCACAGCACGGGCAGAGAGGGCACGAGAGAGCTCTCCTGAGGTTTTATTTCTAACCAAAGCTTATATATCTTTGGGGGGATGCAAGCCCTCTGATTATAGGTAACAACCTACGTCATAGGAAGGGGTTGTAACATAGACAATACAAGCAACAGGAGGAGGATGACCTAGGGAGTACACGCAATAGTAAAGGGAGGGAATAGGGGTACATAAGTGGCAAGATGGGTGGACCCTAGACTCAATATAGTAGCCTAAGCTTAGTCATCCTTGGGTGGTCCCGGCTTGCCTTCGGGCACTCCTTCAAGGGAACACTATCAGAATGGAGTGGGCCCTACTTAGGGGGAGTCAGACTATACAGTCTGGTTGCTCTAGATACCCTTATGGAGAATAATTAACCTCTGACCTACTTTCAATGACCTCCTAGTGTACAGTCATTTACCATGTGTAGCAAGCAGCGTCTTGGGTTTGGCATATATTTGGGGGAGACTACTTGGGAGAAATCTTTGTTTCCCACAATGTCGCTTCTGGACAAGAGCACAACCAGGAAGCTGACGTCGACACAGTCTATTGTTCTCATTCAGAGTTTGCCAGTGTCACACGTACCTGTGTGTGTGTGTGTGTGTGTGTGTGTGGCGTGCACATGCATCGTTCGGTGCAATTTCACCACACACATAGTTGCCATTTCTTCCTAAGCACCAGGAGAAGCAGGCTCAGTTAGGTGACTTCCTCAAGGTGTAGACCTGGAGCTGGAATTTAAATTTGTCTGATCTAAACGTTTGCTCTTTTAATAATCCCACCCGGCTCCATCCAGCCGGTCAGTCGGTTCTGACTCTGAGAGACCCTAGGGAGGGCTGCCAAGGCTCTAAAGCTTGCTGGGAGCAGAATAGCCTCATCTTTCTTCCCGCAGAGGGACTGGTGGGTTTGAAACCCCAACCTTGTGGTTAAGCAGTCGAGTGCTTACCCGTCAGCACCACCAGGGTGCCTTTTCTGGCATGACATTCATGAATGATAACAGTAATCAGTAACAGTAACAGCCGTGACCTGAACTCCAGCTTACATAGCAGGGATATGGAGTGCTTAGTATGTGCTGGAGCCTGTTCTGATGCACTAAGACCTTTAAAACCCCCAACAACAACCACACGAAGCTCGGAGCAGCTGGTGAGAAGCAGAGCATAACAGGTCTGCGTGTCTCTCCGGGTCTTGCCAGTGCTCTTCTTGACAGGGTGCAGCTCAGCGCCTGGCCATTTGCTCTCTGTTACTAGAGAAGGTTTGAGTGTTCTCCCACAGACAGGTTCCTGCCTTACGACGGATTCCGGCTGTGTCACCGGCTTTACTGGACACTTGGATTAGTATTTGTAATTAAAAACTACGCTGTTACCGAAGGATAGGTAGCTATCTTGACAACTTTTGAAAGCAGTAGCAAAATAATGCGACTTCACCCTCTTTTTTACATATGTTTAGCTGTTTCCTTAGTAAAACACACGTTATGAGTTGGATGTCACCCTGAAGGAGAGGCAGGAACAGGGAGTTTCTCCCCTGAGTGATTTCCTGTGACATAATGTGTGTTCTTCACAGAGAGCTGTGAATGGTTCCTCGTGGAGGGCGTAGTACCCAGGGTCTTGGGTCAACAATGGCCAAGGTCATGGGTACTACACCCTCTACTAGTATCGACGCCACGGCAGTAACAATGGGCTCAAATGCAGCAGCGATTGTGTGGATGGCACAGGGCCAGCCAGTGCTTTCGTCTGTTGTGCATGGGCTGCTGGTCACCCCAACAACATCTGTGAGGGTGGCTTCAAAAAATTCGTGGAAAGGTGCCATTTTCTCTTCATTGCATTTCTCCACAGACTTTTTGAAGTCCCCTGGTATGCAAAATTGAGACCGGTGTTATTATATAGGTGAGATGCCGTAAAAGGCTTTTTTAAAAAAACTAAATTGTCAATAAGAACTGGTTTAGGTACAGGGCCAGATTTTTAAGGGAATACATGTACAATCACTAAGAACCTTAAGAATATCATTAAGAGAACTGGAAAGAAATACAGTTACCATATATACTCGAGCATAAGCCGACCTGAATATCAGCCGAGGCACCTACTTTTAAAAAAATCATTTTATTGGGGTTCATACAACTCTTACCACAGTCCATACATACATCAATTGTGTAAAGCACACTTAAACATTCGTTACCCTCATCATTCTCAAAACTCGCTTTCCGCTTGGGTTCCTGGAATCAACTCATTTTTCTTTTTCCCCTTCCCCTCCCTCCCTACTTCCCCCTCCCTCATGAACCCTTGATAGTTTATAAATTATTATTTTATCTTACACTGCCCGACGTCTCCCTTCACCCACTTTTCTGTTGCCCATCCCCTAGGGAGGAGGTTATATGTAGATCCTTGTGATCAGTTCCCCCTCTCTATGCCCCCTTCCCTCCCGGTATTGCCACTCCCACCCCTGGTCCTGAGGGGTTCATCTGTCCTGGATTCCCTGTGTTTCCAGTTCCCATCTGTACCACTGTGTATCCTCTGGTGTACAGGTTTGCAAGGTAGAATTGGGATCATGGTAGTTGTGGGGAAGGAAGCATTTAAGAACTAGAGGAAAGTTGTGAGTTTCATTGTTGCTATACTGAACCCTGAGTGGTTCATTTCCTCCCCACTACCCCTCTGCAAGGGATGTCCAGTTGTTTACAGATGGGCATTGGGTCCCCATCACGTGTCCCCCTCATTCACGATGATATGATTCCCCCTACTCCACCCCACCCCCACCTTTGGTGCTTGAAACCTGGTCCCCTCGGCCCTTCGTGATCACACATGTTGGTGTGCTGCTTCCATGTGGGCTTTGTTGCTTCTGGGCTAGATGGCCACTTGTTTACTTTCAAGCCTTTAAGACCCCAGATGTTATAGCTCTTGATAGCCAGGCACCATCAGCCTTCTTCACCACACTTACTTATGCACACATTTGTCTTCAGCCTTTATGTGGGGAAGGTGGTCACACAATGATGGTTTTTGTTCTTTGGTGTCTGCTACCTGATCCCTTCAACACCCGAGGCACCTAATTTTACCACAAAAACGGCATAAAAAATGTGCTGAAAAATTCTGCTTCTACTGGAGTGTATACAGTGGTTTCTTTGTTCAAAACTTAATACAGTCCCAGGATGTTTGATGGGCACCACTTCTTCCAAGTGACAAATCAAACGTTTGATGTTGTCAGTTAAGGCATTCAGTTGTGTTATCACTCATTAGTAGACTCTTTAGAGCCCTGGTGGTGTAGTGGTTACATGTTGGGCTGCTAATAGCAAGGTCAGCAGTTTGAAACCACCAGCCACACTCTAGAAGAAAAACGAGGCTTTCTACTCCCATCAGGCATTAGTCTCCGAAACCGACAGGGCCAGTTCTGTCTTACTGGGTCACTCTGAGTCAGAATCGGCTCGGTGGCAGTGAGTGAGCATGCTTTGGGGTGATGATCGATAGACTAATCAGCAGTCTGTCATTTACCTACGGTTCTGTGCTAAAGACCTTGTACAGCTGTCCCTGTGCCTGAACAGCAGCACTGATTCAGACTAAAAATAACAGCAGTGTGCCCTTGGTCCCAGGGGGTCTTGGTAGACAGCAAGAGAAATAAAAAGGAATTTAGTCCTTTTTGCCTCCTGTAATCCCACCGGAAAATAAAACATATGCTGTGAGCTGATATCGACTTTTGCCAGGCTCCCTCCCCCAAGAGTCTCCAGCGAGCACCGTTGCAACATTTCTTGGGCTGAGTGTGACGGCCTCTGCAGGAGATGGATAGTTTGTGCAGCCTGAACACTGCGCTACTGTCTGTCCCTCTCCAGCGAGGAGCCTGGCGGCTGCATCTGTCACTTCAACTCCCTTGCTGGGGACCAGATACATTTTACATGCTTGTGAACCAGAGGCAAAGGCAACCAACTTTCAACAAACAGACATACAGAAACAAAAGTTTTTAAATGGTTGACTAGAACACCATGGCTAGGTCTTTCTTTGCCTCGGGGTTTTTGGGTACCACATACTGTCAACAATTTTGATTCACCGTATTCCGTCGCCCTTTAAAAACCACAAAACCTTTCCTCCTGGGCCACTTTTATCAACTGTCTGCTTTTCTAAGGACATCCCCACCCCCTACGCATGACTCATCTCACTCTGGTGAATGTGGAAGCAAATGCAGTAACTACTAAGAAAAGGAATGTATGCTTTTTCTTCTTTGAAAACGTGTACACACATTTCTGTCTCAGGTTATGTAAACTTGGATGGCCGTGGGCTGTTGACAACTGTGACAAGGTAAAAACTAGTCTGCTAATTCACATGCCTTTGGAATGTTAAAAAAAAAAAAAAATTAAAGGTTTGTTGGCTGCTTTGGAGAAGGCAAAAGCTTTCCCGGATGGCCTAGAATACAAACCTGTTTTTTTAAGGGAAAAAAAGAGACACGTACAGGTTCCAAGCCGTCACTGACAAACACCTCCTCACTGGAAATTAACGAGATGGCCCTAAGATTACGCTTTGTGTTTTATTTTCATTTTATAGGTCTGTTCGAGCTGCTGGCTGCCCTGCCAGCGCAGCTGCAGCCCCACGTGGACAGCCAGGAAGACCTGACCTTTCTCTGGGATATGTTCGGCGAAAAAAGCCTGCATTCACTGGTCAAGGTAACTCGCGCCCATGTCAGATCCTCTTCGCGCAAAAGCACACGGAAAAATGCTCTGAGCACCGTCTAGTGAACCAGAGATCAAATTGTTGCTCTCCGCAAACAAAAACTTCCTTGTTTCCACACGGCTCGCTGGTGGGTGTGTGGAAGTTGTTAAAAGATCCCACCAAAAACACATAGATGATTTCACTTAATGGCGGGCGCCCTGCACGCGCATACTAATGCCGTGGACATGTGCTCTCCCTTGTTTAGAGAAAGGATCCGGAACCGAGCAGGAGGGCCTAGGCTTCTCCATGGTCGGCCTTCACGAGCCGGAATTTAACTTGCACAAATAAATATTCAAAGCAAAAATTCAGGAGGCCTCTCTTTTCTGAGGTCAAGGATGGCAGCAGTTCAGTAGCCGCATTAATTTAAAATAATTTCCTTTAACAGAGTCAACTGAAATCCTAGTAAGCTTGTTTTCTTTCTCTGGCCTGGCTCCACCGAGACGATTTTTGGTGTATAAACACACCCGCGCTAGAGGAAGGAAAACAGCTTTTGGCCGGTGTTTCGGGGCAGGATCGTGCCATGAGAATCATCAGCCACCGACATCAGATCTGGCCGGAGAGCGACGCCGGGAGTGACCAGCTCTCTTAAAATAGTAAAACGAGAACAGAAACCCACTGGAAAATATGCCACTCTGGCTTGTGGACCTAGCAACTGCGTTTTATTTCATTTCACTCAGGCCGAGGGGAATTCGGAGGTCTGATCTGGGCCCGGACCAGGCAGCAGCAGCCGGTGCGTGCACAATGCCCTGAGCGGCAGTGCTGAATCGGCTGGGGCCGGCTGGCATGATAAGAAGCTTTTAACTGATGGGTAGGACTTGGAAATACGGCACTCCTCAGTTGCAGCTGTGGCACGGAACGGGAGATTCTTACTGCTGTTCGTTTGGTTTTTCCCCTGTTGCCCAGTTTGCTGAAATGTGTGTGTCAAGTAGTGGCTGCGCTCAAGAAGTGAATGTGGGGGATGTAGACGTCTGTGGCATTTCCCTGACAGCCCACTTGAAAGCCAGGTGCTTTGCTTGTTTGGTTGACCATTGTGTCTTTTAATAACAGTGTAGCTGCCAAGGGGTTTGTTAGAAAGTTAGAGTGTAACTGGTCAGGTTTGTGCCTGTGAGAGAATCAAATAAAAAAATCCAGTGTTAAATCTATGCAGGCTTAACAGCTGTGATTTATTTAGATGGAGTTGGTCATTGGGCAGAAGAAATCAATATTCAGAATATAAATAATATGTAAATGACTTATGAAAGATAAGCAAACATACCCTCAAACAAGGGAGGCATGTTGGCTTGTTCTGATACTTTGACGTTATTCTCTATTTTGGACCTCGGATGCCATAGGCATGATGACGCCTCTTCATTTTGCTATGTGACTTTCAGATACAGCAGTGAAGCTCCAAGTTTTTGGACAGTTAGAGAGTCAGGCAACTGTGAGAAGCTTATCCAACGTTGAAGAGAAAACTAATTACCATAGCATTCAAAGGAGAAAAAAAAGTAACTACAAAGATGGCTGTTATTTCTACTACAGTAATTAAAAAGTCCCAAAACACCGAGTATGTAAAAAAAACATTCTTTGCTATACTAGCTTATGAGTTTAAGCATCAGCGCCTCCTTCCTCAAAGGCTATGTCACCATTCAGTGGTTAGGAAGCATGCTAGAGGGGGCACGTATCTGATCTCATAAAACCGGTCAAGGAAACGGACTGCCGTGGGCCATATTTAAATAACACAATAGCACATGACTGTTGGCAGATGTTTTCTGTAATGACACTAAGACGCATTTTCAAACGAGTTTTATTTTGTGACTCCGGTACATTCCCAGTTTCTTGACCCTTCTCCCAACTTGGGACGTGTATCCCACGGAGACCTCTAGTGGTCCTTTGGCCCCCCCTCTTCGTTTTGCCGTCCATCAAGCTCAAGGGGACTCCGCAGGGCCAGCTCGTGGAGCCCTAGCTTCCAGCACCTGGAACGTGCCGCTTCGCGGTGGTCCGGGCGCCCCTAGTTAAGGACGCACGATAAAAGCCTGCAGCGATAAAAGCCTGCAGCGGTTGCACAGAACTCTTAGTAGAGCAAAAAGGAATTTGTTTGAAAGGTTTGTTACAACGTGAATCAAAATGTGTCTTGGTTTTATGCTCTTTTTTTTTCTCGCTGAAGCGGAAGCTGCTGGCATACGATTTAGAACTGGGAGTGCGGAAGACTTGCTTTTAGCTAGCATGGAGTTTTCATCGTTGCCATCTTATTTTTTATTTAAAAAAAGGAACAAGAAGTGGCAGTTTAGTCACCACACAATGTTCAGTACATAGGAAGAATGCCCCGTCCCGTATGGAGCCTTGGTGGCATAGGAGTTGTGAGGGCTCAGCTGCTAACCCAGATAGATGCCCAAGGTGTGAAGCCAGCAGCTGTCCTCTGGGAGGCGGTGCTTCTGCGCAGATTGACAGCCTCGGAAACAGCCTAGGCGATTCCACTCTGCTGTGGGTTCGCTATAAGCTAGAACCTACTCCCTGGCATTCACTGGGCATGGTTTTCATTTGCTTATTTGTGGTCTGAAGTAAAAGACTCTAAGGAGAAGGCAGATTTGATTCCCCCCTACGGTCCCCCCTCACCCCTCCACCACCCCCATATGTGACAGTTACAGCATGCCACCCTAGGATATGGAGTTCCAGTTTGGCAGAGAGACTGGCTTATCATTTTGTCACTGGGAAACAGTTGGCAAACCTGTACACTGTAAGGAGTGCCTGGGTGCTGCAAATGGCCAGGGGCTCTGGGACTCACCCAGAGCTTGGTGGTCCACATCTGCCCCATGGCGCCTCGGACAAAGACCTGGCAATCCTTCAGAAGGCAAGTTCTGCCCCGAAACATGTGGGGTCACTGTGGGTTAGAATGAACTGGATGGCGACTGGTTTTTGGTTCTATAGGTGTGTTAGACAGGGTTCTCTAGAGAGACAAAACCAGATTGCTAATAATTATATATATATGTATATATATAGATGGATAGATACATAACACAAGAAATAAACAGTTAAATTCTAAAGCAGTACAAATGGCTCAGTGCAACTCACTCCCGTGAGACAGTTGTGAGACACTGGCAGTCCTTCAAGTCTTGAGGGCTCTGTAGAGCAATTCAGGCTATCTGGGCACAGGCAACAAACAGCAAGGCAGGTCACCAACAGTCAGCCAGATGACAGGGCCTGACAGTCCCCAGCTCAAGAGATGTAAATTCCAATTGTGTGGCAAAGCAGGTCTTGAAGGAACCTCAAATTACAGTGACACAGTCCACGGGTTAGGTGTCCCACAGGTAGTGTAGCTTGCAAATTGAGGCACAGAGTAAGCAAGCCAGCCGCACACTGGTTTGATGATCAAAGAGCAAGAGACGAAAGGCGAGGTTTGCCGAGTCATTTATCTCTCCGCCCTTCAATTAATCCCACATGTGTTTATCGGCCAGGTTGGCACAATAAACTAACTCCCTCAATAGGGTATTAAACCCACAGCCATCAAGTTGATTCGGCTTTCTGTGTTGCCGTACAGGACTGAGACTTCCTTTAAGGGCAGATCTCTCTTGCAGGGTGAGTGGTACGTGAACCACAGGACCCGACTGTAAAGCAGTGAGTGATTCAACCGCTGTGCGACTGGGGCTCCGTACAGAGTGTGAGCTGAAGGTGTTTGTTTGTTTTTTCCTCCAAGGGAAAGAGTTTGGAAAGAATAATGCAACGTGTAAGCGTGAGAGCTAGAAGTATCAGAAGGAACACGGCATTGATGGACGACCTGAGAAATTTGTGTCAGGGATGGAAAAGTTATATGAGAAGGAGGGGGGGAGACGAGGCTATCAGAAGCCACAAGGTTTAGTGACTGTGGTGATGATCGTGTGAGGGAACCCCGCGGAGCGGAATAAAACTGATCCCTGTGTGGTTTTCAAGGCTTGATGTGAATGAAGTAATTCAAAAGTTGGAAAGACAAGACATGCCTTTCTTCTGAGGCACTTGTGGGTGGGTTTGAACTGCAACCACGTGTCTCGTCATGGACCACTCGAGTTCTCCCAGTGACTGACTGACAGACCACGAGTCAGCTGAGAGGTGCATTTTTGACCCACCTCTTGCAGACGTACATGATCACGAAGCATAGATTTTGTGTCCTACCTCACTTCCAGATTTATTTTTCTCCCTCTTTTCTCTGCCCCCTTTGAGTTCGCTCTACTTTAAATCTGGTTCTGTTAAGTAGCGTAGGCAATTTTTGTTACCTAGCTTAACTTCATGTTAGAACAAGATGTGGCATAAAGACTTGCTTAAATTTTATATTTTTTCAAATAAGTCCCTAGTTCTGTTTCTTCATGAGGCTTACGTGTGCCGATTCTGGTGGATCTCTAGGATAAGAACCTCAGATGTTAGTTCATTTTGTCTCAAGGGGAAAGGAAGTATCCAATTCCGTTTTATCCATTATGTGATTCTGCAGGATTCTGACAAGTCACAAATTGATATTTCCAAGAGGAATGCTCCAGTATCACTGGAGAAGTGTGGTTGGTACCTCTGTGATTTCAGCCTTGAAGCCTATGTAAACGTTCATTTACATAGCTTTGGCTTTTTTATTACCATATATACTCGAGTATAAGCTGTTTTCCAGCACATTTTTAATGCCGTTTTTTGTGGTAAAATTAGGTGCCTCGGCTGATATTCAGGTCGGCTTGTACTTGAGTATATACGGTACTGCTTGGTTTACTGATTCAACCCTGACTGTCCAGTACTCACCACGTGTGTGGATCAGTGGGACTCACAGGAGTGGCACAGCCCAAGCCCCTTCCTTGTTGTGTGGTGCCTCCAGTCTGATTGGAGAAGCTAAGATGAGGTGAGGGGCAATGGCAATATCCTGTGATGGGAGGGCAAGGGGGAAAGACGAGGCGTTCTACTCCTGTAAAGAGTTAGCGTCTTGGAAACTCCCAGGTGCAACTCTACCCTGCCCTATAGGGTCGCTGTG